CTTATTGCACCTTGAGCACAGTTGGCAGTTGACCAGTATGTATCACAATACGACTTACTACCATTAAATATCTTTCTGCAGACATCAAGATACTCATAACCAGACGTTTGTCATGGTAGTGGCTTGTGAACGTTGGTTCTCCCTTCGCGTGGCTGTTCTTAGTTCTTTGTTTATAGGCTCAGTGGCATTAGCAGCCGTTTTGGTTTCCCAAGATGCTGGTAAGAGAGAACACAGTATAAACGTTTAAATACGTCAGTGATTTAAGTTCTGCTGTCATTCAACGGCATTGTGAAAAAAATACCTTGTGGTTGTTCGAGAACAGAGTTCTAGGAAAGCTACGATCTTAGAGGAACAGATGAGACTGTAGGGCTGCAAGCTATAGATTTAAAAAAAACAGGGGCCGTCACCTGGGGTTCCATAATCTGCATAATAGAGATTGAAGCTCTGAAGTGACGTTGTAAGATATTGGTTTAGTTAGTGTATGTTGCGCTACGATACTAAAGTTTCTGAATTGGAAATAGCTAGTTTAGGATGGGGTAGGAGATTTTGGTGCCTGGCTTAGAATAGGGTTGCAAAATCAAGCTGATCATGGTCTAGTTTAGGGTAAGGGTTTCAGTGTGCCAGCGGCACACCCCTACCCAAAGATTTGTAGAGTCCCACCTGGGCTTTTACTTAGCGTAACATAAGCCATGCTCTCTTGTCCCACGAAGAAAGGAAAGAAATTTTCAGACTATACTTTAAAGCTTAGGGAGTACAGACTTGTCGGTTATGCTTATAGAAGCTAGGAACGTAGAATGGAAATCGTATAGAAGCTAGGAACGTAGAATGAAAACCGTACATCTGCACTGTCCTCAAAATTTCACATTTGCCTTCGAGTCTTCACATAAAGGACCCAAGCCTTCAAGATCACAGAAATGTGGTCTTAAATTTTCAAACCTCAAGTGGGCCTATTGGTTCCACTACACATTTTGTGTAGTAATATCTTTGGTATATAAGAGTGTGGACTATGAAAAAATGTGGTTCATTTACTGTTTTCCGACACCACAAAAGGTTGCCGATCAGTCAGGGAAAAGTCAGTGCAAAATCGTATATGTACGTAACGAATCGTGAGACAGCCTTCTTTGCTTAAGGACATTATATTAAGTTCATCTAAAATTTTACGCCACCTGTCCCAATTTCCATTTCCTAACTCCTTTGTTTCCGTTTCCTTTGAAAAATTATTCTCAAGTTTCCGAGAAAATGGCTTTGCGTTACGTTACAGGTAACGCCATATTTCTGATCCATCCTCTCATCCATCATAACTCTCGACCAATAAGCGCACTAAGGTTCTCTCTCTGGGAGGTGTTGTGGCCTCATGGCTAGTGCGCTCGTCTCCGGATCGAGCGGTCCGGGTGCCAGCCCTGGCCGGGGACAATGCGTTTTGTTTTTGGGCAAGACACTTTACTCTCGCAGTGCCTGTCTCTAGCCAGGTGTATAAATGGGTATTACATGGCAAATTAACTTTAATGCTGGGGATGACCCTGCAACTAGCATCCCATCCAGGGGGTGATAGAAATACTCCTAAATGCTTCTACAGAAATCTACGGCCTGAAGGGCCACTTGGCTCGTATACGGACTTTACCTCACCTACCTTTACCTAAGTTTTCTTAAGACTCACCCTTATCCTAAGCCAACTCTTACGCGGTACCTAAGATCTCTTTAAACTGATACCAGCTTTTGTTTACCCAGCTTTTGCCGGCCTTGCTCTGGCTTACGTCATCGAGATTGGCGACGTCACTGAGTACGCTGTGAGGAAATCATCAGAAGTCGAAAATTTAATGACGTCCATTGAACGAGTTATGACGTACACTAAGATTGACTTTGAGCCTGGATACAAAGAAGAACAGCTTCCCCCAGAACACTGGCCACCAGAAGGAAATATCACATTCAAAGACGTGTCGTTGACATATTACCCGGGGGGGCCTCAAGTTTTGGAGAATATAAATCTCGAGATCAAGGGAGGAGAAAAGATCGGTGTTGCAGGACGCACGGGTGCTGGGAAATCATCTTTTGTAGCAGCTCTTTTACGCATGCCTGACGCTGTTGGTGACGTAATTATCGACGGTGTTCGATTAAAGGAGATGAACCTCCAAGAGGCGAGACGATGTGTATCTGTTCTTGGCCAAAGTCCTGTTCTCTTTAGTGGATCACTGAGGAGAAATCTTGATCTTATGGGACAGTTTCAGGATGTAGATTTGTGGCGGGCATTAGATGAAGTGCGACTGAAGCAGATGGTGGAAAATCTGGAAGGACAACTGGACTACGAGTTGTTGGAACGCGGTACAAATGTCAGCGTAGGAGAACGGCAATTAATCTGTCTGGCTCGCGTGCTCTTACAGCAAAACAAGATCATTATCTTGGATGAGCCTACTGCGCACGTGGATCCAGACACAGAACAAACAATCTGGAACACGGTGCGAGAGAAACTGAGGAACTCAACAGTTATCACTATAGCTCATCGTTTGAACACCATCAAAGACTGTGACAAGATCCTTGTTTTCAGGGAGGGGAAGGTAGTTGAGGTTGGCACCTTTGATGCGCTACTGAAAAGCGAAGGAAGTGAACTGAGTGAACTTGCTCAAGCTTCAGACGACGGAAATTAAAGTAACCTCTGGTATCGGTCCAGAATTTGACTCTAGCCACAAGCTTTCAATTTTTTTGGAGAATAATATTCCTTAGTTCGTGATGATCTATATGTGAAATAAACCGCACATCTGAACTATACCCCGTTACCAAGTATCCCGATGAGACCTTAGTTGCAACAAAATAGTTCCGGTGTTCAGATTTAAGGTGGCTTGCAACATTTCCAGCGTTTTTCAGCAGTTCTACTTTGATGAATAGTATGCTACCCCTCCTTTCAGTTGAATTCAGAGCCACCTTAATTTTTCGTAAAACTTTGGGGGCTTTGAACCCCTCCTAAAAGCTGCGGTGAACGTGGACATCGCGGGTGTGTATCAAACAATTTAGTTGTGATCAGAGGCGGCCCAAAAGAAATTTAAGGTTTCTGATGGTCTCGTGGTCTTTTTCTTTATAACTGATCGAGAAATATCAACGTTATTTTAGCTCGCTGTATAAGTTCTTGAAAAGGGTGGAGGGATTACACCGTAGAACTCCGAAAGTAACGGTTGAAGGTGGTAACTGTAAGGGGTCTAGATCACGTTTTACGGGAAATAAAAAAGTCTTTCATAATTCAGGGGAAGTAAGAAAAGACTGCATCTCAAATATCACACACAAAAAAAACAGGTCAAAATGTTTCACTAGAACTTGCAAAATTAATGAGATTTTGAAAGTCAATGTTATTTCTCTACTTCTTTCTCCCACAAGCGGCAATAGGAGAGCCATGCTCTACTGAAGACTAATGTAGAGGGATCGACGGGGATTTTCTATTTCACATTTCATGGGAAAAAATAAGTCCATTCACGAATCACAAAAATATATATCCTCTATTAACCTCGAGGTCAGCTCTCATTATTTTCGAATTTAGCAGGCCAAAAGCGCGCTACTTTCGGCTAACCGTTTAACCTCGTTCCCAGGGGTGTCTTCCCGCCCTACCAGAGCGAGAGAGAAAGGTAGGGATGAGGGACCCTGGGAATGAGGTTGGTAACCGTTATTTTGGTACCGTTACGTATGATCATAACCATGGGAGGCGCGGTGACCCGTGGTTAGTCAGCGGTCGACTCCGGATCGAGTGATTCGGGTTCGAGCCCTGGACGGGGACATTGTGTTGTGTTCTTAGGAAAAACACTTAAATCTCACAGTGCCTCTCTCTACCCAGGTGTATAAATGGATACCGGCAAATTTAATGCTGGGGGTAAACCTGCGATGGACTAGCATCCCATCGGGGGGGGAGTAGAAATTCTCCTAGTCGCTTCATACCACAGAACCCGGGATAAGCTCCGGCCTTTTGGGCCACTTGGCTCGTATGCAGACTTTTTACTTACGTACGATCATAGCAGTGTAATTTTCATTTTGATGAAGAGTTCAGCCCGGTTTCCTCTTTTTCTGTATTCGTTTACTACATAATACGACCACAAACAAAATCTCTTATCGGAGTGTCAAACCGGTGTGTCAATTCATTTTGTTTGTCGTGTTAGCAGTAAAACTTGCTCGCTAGTTTCATGTAAATGTATATGGTATGACTGTTCGTGACATATTCCTTGTAGTTTAATTCGTCGATTTGATTGCGGAAAAATAGTGAGTTCACACTGCTATAAAACCGGCTTCTGTAAACTTTCCATAAGGTGTAATTTGATGATGGTTCTACTCATTTTTTTTCTTTAAAAATAAAGTTTAATCTCGGAAACTCGAATTTACGCCTTTTTTCGACTCTTCGACTCGGCTCGACTATTGCCTCGTTTTGCAAATGACTATTGAACTTTCGACTCGACAAGAACTTTTAATCGACTTTGTATTACAAAAACTTATACTGGTTTCATATCACGTGGTGCGTGGGCCGGAGTTCGGCGATTTCAACATCGCACTGTTATCATGGAAAGACCTTTTAACTTGGTAGAGACAGTTGCTTGGAATTAATTTACAGCCTTAGGCCCCGTCTACACGACACCTGGGAAATTTGAAAAGAGTGTGTTCACTTTGAAAACGCATCACATGTTTTCCGTTCACTCTACGCGGGAGAAATTTGAAGACGGCGCTTTCGCTCTGAAAAGGTATCAAATGCCAGCTCCTTTCACACTACGCCGGAAAAATTTGAAAATGCAACAATCACCGGTGACAGAAAAGCTTGAGTGCACCCTTGAAAGTTAGGGTTAATCACACGATTATCGTGTTGCCATCGTTTTCGCAAACCTCCGTTTTCCAAATGTTTTCCGTCCATACAAAAATGCAAAGCTGGTGTTTTGAAATTCCTCCGGTTTAAAGAAAAGCTCCGTTTTCGTCGGAAAATTTCTCCGGATTAATGTGGACGGTAAAGCTGCGCTTTCAAATTTCTTCGACGTTAGACGGTAAAGTAGGCGGAGCCTTAGTCATTTCATCGCAATTTCCGCACAAAAACAGCAAACGATTGTTTGGTATTCACTATCACTGTATACTATACTATTCACAGCCAAATTGTATTGCTATGCGCTTCCCGCGTTTTGTGCAATTTTACATTAAAATGAATCGTGTGTGTGTGTGTGTGNGGCAGCGCTACGTTTCAGGAGGTAGGAGGTAGGAGGGCAAGGTTGTTGGAGTTATTTTCCGGGCAGCGGGTTTGTTAGTTATGGTACAGGAAAACATCAGCCTTGAAACATAGTTATGATTGTTACAAGGATTACCGAACGAATCAGCGACAGTGCAAATGCCAATTATCTGATTCAAAATATCTCGTGAACGCTTAGCACTTCTAAGAACGTTCCAGACAGTGACCTTGACACTACTTCAAGTCTGACTTGATTTAGTGAGTGTCTCTTACAGGAACCATTTTAGTCTACCGCGCTTTACAATCTTTCTTTACAGAAGAACAGTGTTAAAAAGTGGGAGTCCATTAGTATTGTCTGGATACAGCACGAAAAATAAATATTCTTTTAATTTCCATTTTACACACCCACTGTGCTTTGTCAGCATCTGACTCATAGCCTAAAACGATCAGAACAAAAACTTGATACAGATGATTACATAAATATTGTCCACGAACAGGCTTACAGATGAGATTATATTTCAATCACCGCCTTTCTTTCGCAGATTTAGCCGGCCGCACGCGCGTGTAATCTCTATGGTCAACGTATCTGCAGCGATATATAGAGCAAACGAGAAAACAATTAACCAAATTTGAATAAGGGAAGAGAAAGATCAAAACGGAAAACTTGAAATGGAAAAGGGAAAACGTGCGGTTAGCACTGCCTGACCGGCGGAAGTCTGCCCCAGAAGTGTCAGTTGTTTCCGGGTCATGTGTTAGAACAACAGCCAACTGTACATAACACTTACGCGACGTGCTTGTAGCAGATATAAAGTACTTACGTAATGAATGATTTGATTCGCACGCGTGAACTCGCTGAATAATTTAACGATGACAATCTTGTCAATTGACGAGGGTACGATTTGTGGAAAGCATTCAAAAGAGTTGGAGAGAATTTGAGAAGAGATATTGACCAGACATTTATGCGTTTATGTGCTGAAGAAACCAGGGCACTGAAAGCATCGATATAAATGTTTGTTTGATTGTAACGCATTATGGATGCGAACAAGCTCTGAAAGGTTCACGCAAGATATTGGAAGTTTTCACTGCTAGGGTACTATTAGGTGCTTACTATGAGTTGGAAAAGTCTTTTGCAGAACGCACTTCCAATTACAGTTTTGTTATTAGCAACCTTCGACCTTGGAGAAACTGCGTTATCACCCTGCACAAGCAACGTAAACGCAGTTCTTTCATTGCCGTGTAAGTTTTCACCGGGAATTCATTCTTACACGACACTGACTATCAGCACCGAAATTTTCTTAGAGACAAACTCGAGCTCTTCGCAGCATGTTTTTAATGTCTCTCAGACGGTTGACATTCAAACCAAGGCAATTTTAATCCTCGATTACAACAGGGTGAGCGGCAGCAATCACGGCGCTGGTGTAAATGGAGGCAGTGGCAGCTCTGGAGGTAGCTACGGTGGAAGAGCAGGAGCTGCGTCTAACACGCCATTATCTGCATCTCAGTCTGAAGCGTACGGCAGCGCCTTCGCCGTAGACCAGCCCGGGAGTTGGGGTGGTGGTGACCCCAGCTCGCGTGGAAAAGGAGGGGGATACCTAAAGATGTACGCTCGTAAGCTCATACTTGACGGAACAGTGCAGGCAAACGGAGGGCGCGCGCAGCTGAATGATGGAGGCGGTAGTGGAGGCGGCGTTTCCATACACTGTTTCGAAATCGATGGCAACGGCAGAGTGGAAGCATCTGGAGGGATGGGAAGTGGCAAAGGAGGTGGTGGTAGTGGAGGAAGGATCTCAGTGCAGTATCAACATGGATCCTTTGGTGGCCAAGCACAAGCGTACGGTGGGAAAACAGGTAATGCTAACAATGTTGAACGCGAGTTTTGGACTTCCGCTTTCACGGTTGCTAACGAAGTAAGTCAAATTCATTTTGCCAATATATCGGAGCATTTTTCCTGACGTGACATGATATGACATGACACTAATAGAGTTGTTAATAAGTAAGGAAACTATTATCTTACAAGTTAATCCCTAACTTTGTTGGCTTTTCCACTGAAAGCTGACAAAACAAAAAAGCAAACTTTCCAAAGTTTGTTCTTGCGTCAAAGGTGTTTGTGGGCCATCAAATTTATGCATAATCTACTCTTGTGTAATGTTGACTGTCGGTTATCACACATTTTAACCTTCATTTGTACATGTAAATCTTGAACGTTGGACACTATGCCCCATTATGTGTGCCACAGTTTGATAAGAGCAATTGAGCTGGTTATAAATGTTGTTGATACATTCAGCTATAACTTTGATCAAATAGCGAAACAATTCAGGCATGAAATTAGAACGATTATTCTGAAACAAACTTCATACGAGAATTGAATTTCGCAGGAAAATTCAATCCGCACTGCCATTTGTTATTAAAGAGATGCGCCCGAACACAACTTGTCAAAAGCGGAACTTTTTCAACATCAGGTTTCATCCGAGGAATGTCTCAAAACATCCTTGTCAATTAAGATCGCTTTCGTAGTGTAAACAAGAGTCGTTAATCCTGAAGGGTCACTCTTTGACAGCCTTGGTCATTTTTCTGGCATTCTTTTCATATTAGAGACGGAAAAAAATAGAAATGGGGGAGGGACAATGTAGGCTTCGTATAATTTATTTCCAATATTGACTGTTTATGCTTGATGGAATTGAAAATGCATGAGTGTATGTTAAAGATTTTTTTTAAAGAGAATTACAAGATGAGAATGAAGTATTTAGGAAAGCAATTGTTTCCAGGATTAAGATTAAAAAGAGATATACTGTATTTATAAATAGTTAGAGCTTGTGAGACCTTGTAATAAAGTCAAGAATGTAGCATACCATGCCACTTGACGGCTGTCATCCTTGGACAACAATACGACATGTTTTCCGACCAACTAGTCTGATTGTGGTTCAGTCAGTCACGGAGAACGCTTATTATCGCACGTGCGGTCTGATATCGAGTTGTCAAAACCTCAATACGTTTTGCCACTTGCACTTCAGAGTACTGTGTTGTTGTTGCGGGGCATTCACTTTGCTTTTAACTTGTAAAAAATTATTTTGCCGTATCCACTTTGTAGCAAACGTGGCCGTGAAGTTCCTTATTTCCTTTAATATTTATTTCCACTTGTTCTGCTCTGCTCTGCCCACGCGTACGCCCTGAGAGCCCAATCAGTTAAGATGACGTCAGCACCTAGCAAAGCCGATAAAAAAGTGGCTCGAGTAATAATTAACTTAAGTGCATGAAGCCACTCTTGAAAGGAAACTTTCCCCCATAACAATATAGAGCCTTTTGCTATCTTCTCTCAGATGCAATACGTTCGATGTGATTGGTCAATTTTACTGCCCTGTTTCACAGTACGTGCCGTCCACTTTCCCCTCATTGATTTAAAATGTTTACCTTTTGGTACAGAGAGAGGGTAAATATTTCATCAAGTTCTTTTTTGTTAGTTCGTGCTTTCAGACACATATCTCCCTTTTCCTTGTTGATTTAGGGCTCACGTGCTTTGTTCTTGAGTCATAAAGCCATGACCTCCCCACCTCCCCCGCACAAAAAAAAAAAAAACAAAAAACAAAAACAAATCAATTAAAGGGAAAAAGAAGTTAAATGTAATTTTACTGACCTCGAGCTGATTACTAAAAATTATCACTAGGTAATTAACACGGGATTCTCAAGGTATCATTAACTACTTATTAACCTCGTACGTTCGGTCTTTACGGGTAAATCTCAAACCTCGGCCTTGCCGTATTGACCTCGCTATCGTTCGGTCATTACAAGACTTAACTCTCGGTTAATAAGTAGTTAATAATGCGATGATAACAACTTCAGTGCAAAAATCCTGGAGAGGATTCGTTCACTGCAGCAAATTAAAATGTTGTCGAAAAACAAAAAACAACGAAAATTTAAGGTGGCACTGATCCCTATCTACAGAATGTTTTTAAACTTTGCCAAAAGGTGCGTTTTATCATGCTTAAAAAGTTGATAATATATAATAAAAAAAATTCACCCAGCCGTTTTTGAATTATAAACCCCTAAAGCTGTAATTAAGGGTGTTTTTGGGAGGTCATACTGTTGCTATGGTAACCTATTGTGTCACAAAAATGATAGTAAGTGTTCGCCAATGATTGGGCAGTTTTTTGATACCATGACTGTAGCATCAAGTGATAAAGAGTGTTTTTAACGACCCATTAAAATCTAAGTGCTGGTAACTGTTTTGAGCCACCCCAAGTATTATGAATGGCTGACTGTTAGGATCGAGAAACGCCGGTNATTTCTGAAAAATAAAAATTCGCTGGAACCTTTAAATATGATTTTTAGAATTAGGTCACCAAAGGGTATCTTTGGGCAAAATATGAACGATTTGTCAAATGGGACGTTGACCGGCGTTTCTCGATCCTAACAGTCAGCCATTCTTATGTTTTAATCAGATTCTTTGACAGATTCGATCGTTTCTATCTTTTATTATTTGGTATGAATGTTTTCACAACTCTCTTTTTTTGAAAAATAAAGGATTTGAATAGATCCGAGATGACTAACCATTATGATTTTTTTCCTTTTTCAGAAAATGAAGTGAGCGCACAGGGCGTGGCAGCAGGTTCTACAACCTTATCTGCAAATTCCGTAAAGACGATCAATCGGAACCCTCCTTTATCCGACATTGTCTACTCTCCCCAACATGCCAAATTAAACTACCAAGGGGGCAACGGAGGGTGGATGCCAGTGACCAATAATATTGGAACCGAATGGTTGCAGGTAGGCACATTGTTTATTCCATTGAAAGTAATTCAGATTCATGACTAGATTTTGCATAAGTCCATTTCTGAGCACCTTTTTTTCCGAATCAGTCTTCCTCTCTTTAAAATTTTGCTCTACTGGTTAAACAGTCATACCACTTTTTTAGTTGATCGATTACTTGGCTTTAAAACATTTAGCTATTTTTCAACTTTGGATTTGATAAACGTAAATTCACTGCCGTAACGAGTTTGCCGCGGTTAATAACTTAATTATTAACTTGAGTTGACACAGCCGATCTTTAGAAAGTAGACCAACAGCCAGTCTTTATAAAATAATACCTTTGTATTTGGCTACAATCCTTCAATACCCTATTGTTTCACTGGTGGCCGAACTGCTGTGGAAAGATTTTGGAGGAGCGGAAGCGCAACCAAATTAATTTTATGGAAGAAGTCGAAAAGGCACCATAGCAAATTTCCACTTAGTTGGAAAGATATTCGTTTAGTTTACCCAAAATGGCCCTACTAGGTTACTGAAACAGTATTATTAAACTTGGCAGTCGTGTTTGAACCTGATGAGGCGTGGGGTGAAGATGTCTGGGACCAGGGAGGGGGACTTCAACACAAAAAGGACGGGGTGTCTGGGTGCTCCTCGTACCTTTTTGGGGTTAAAAAAGCGGGTATGGACCCTTTTAGGGTGTTCAGCCTCAAAGGGTCCACGGCATGAGCTTTCGCGGTACCTTTTAGGGTATTGAGCCGAAAAAGGTCAGTAATGTGTTAATTTGTTGCTTTAGAATTGGTACCTCTTAGCCGTCAGAGCTAGGGGTGAAAAAAATCTCAAGCCACGCCCACACAAAACAGGGTCTTGGTGCCTCTTAAGGCCTAGGGGCTCTTTTCAAAATTTCTGACGAGCACCCCCCTCTCTTATATATTGGAGTCGTCCTCCCGCTTCTCTTCCGCTTACGCCTCTTATTTCAGCATTAGGTTCGGATGGCTACGTTGGGGAGGAAGGGAGGGAGGGCTACAACGCTAGTAAATGCTGTTTGAGCGGTACTCAGTGTGGTAGGGATGAAGGTCGTCCTTGAACTTCGAGATATGCGAAGTATGGGTGATATGCAAAGTTCCCAATATCTTTTATTTCTGGTTTCCCAGGAAATTTTTTCTCTCGGTTCGTGGTAAAATGCTTAAATTCCCGGTAAATAAATTAGCTGTTTTCCCGAAACAGTGCTTGTTAGAGTAGTCACCCCCGTGGTGACTCGCCATTTCATGGCCCTGAGCTCATGCATGTCTCATGTTTTTAGCGCCAAACCAGCCATGATGTGCTACTAATTATTTCATTTGTAATGGTCCTCACCAGGTTCAGCTGTCCAAGGAGGCTTACATAACTGACGTAGCTACTCAAGGCCGCTACTTAGGCACCCAATACACCAAGTCGTACTCACTGCAGTATCTCGATCCTGATATTTCGCCAGCAACATGGAGAGACGTTAAGGTCAGTAAACCATGAACACGAGCGTAAGCGAAATTCGCGTACAAATCAGGCTTTTTCTGTTCCTCTGCTCTCAGCCGAAGTCAACCTCGTAGGCGAAAGGTAAATACTGAGTGGGGTAGACTCAGTGGGCTTTCTGTTCACGAAGTCACGTTTGTGTCACACAACATGTTGTATCTAATAGATCATCTACATCTATAGACGGTCCCCGAGTTTTCGCAGCCCTGAGACATTCTACGTTAAGACGACGTTAAGGAAAGACTGGAAAGCTTAAGTCTCGTTGAAAGATAGTATATGACGTGTTCATATGATGCACTGTTGCATTATTACCTCTTTTTAATCCAAATCTGGGCAGCTAGGTACTTGATATCGGATCGACAACTGGATCGAAGAGTTCACTATTGATACACTGTTTAACATCGTGAGTTTCTTCGCATTTCATATTGTTTTTACTTTTGAAAAATTTACAGGAGAATGGTGAAGTGAAAACTTTTGCAGGAAACACTGACACGAACACAGTAAAGAAAAATGCTCTTCCGGCGGAGGTATACACGAAAGCAATTCGCTTTTATCCCAAGTCATACAACGTTGGAATCGCGCTAAGAGTGGAACTTTATGGATACCCAGCAGGTAAGTTGAATTATTTTACCTGTACAGCTGATTGAAGATAGCTTTATAATTTAGGCCTTGGAACCTTTATAGATGCGTGAATTCGTTGCAGCCGAACTAAAGACCGTCTTTGACAGAATGACAGCGGGCCCTTCGGTGCTGGGGGCCATTTTCATTGAAAGACGTTCCCGCCAATTCACGTCACACAAGGTGTCACGTTCAAGTACACTTACGGTGTCACGATATAATAAGGAGTTTCACGATGTACAGAATTACCCTCAAATCACCCAATAAAGAGGAACGATGGTTTAATCCTTGGAGAATATTGACTGGATCATCTATAGCATTTGCATAAAGAATATCTGACGCAACTTTCGTAGGCGCCGTTTAAAAGCAGACAGGGTAATCCAGGTGCTGGGATTAACCTAGTAGGAGGGTTTCCATCAACGCGTTTACAAAGCTGCTAGGGTTACCCTAGTACTGGGGTAACTCTGGCGTAACGCTAGGGTTAGGTTACCCAAGCTGCCTTGTAAACGTTCTGCTAGGTATATTTTACTGGTTTAATTTCCAGACCCTTTGAATGTTTTTCTGAAGTTTGTCTTCCGTTCTCTTTCTAGTAATCTCCTCTCGAATATACGTTCCTCTGCCACTTAACTGTATGGCCAGGTTTTCATCTTAATCTTTTTCATCAAATAAATTTCACATGCCGCGTGTGCTGAATTGTATTGCGAGGCCTTTTCAACTTGTTGTCGTTGTCTTACAATACTACTAGGGAGTTAAAGAAACCAGGACGCGACGTCGAGGACAACGTCGATTAAAAAATGATTTTATATTTTACCTACGAATCTCGCTATACTCTCAAGTCATTTTCCTGTGTTTCTCAGTGTCAAAACTATCACGAAACTGAATCTGGGACAGGGCAAAACATTTGAATTAAAAAAAAAAATTAGCCGTCGTGGTTCACGTTCTCTGGACAATGCGGAATTTGGTCATTTCACGTTGTTGTTTTGCAGAGGACGGAAGAGAAATGTACCAAGAGCTATAACGCACGTGCACAGCCATTGGTTTGCTCATTAAACCTGTTGTTTAGCGACGTTCCCGTTGTCATTGCCGTCGTGGTTTTCTTAAACTCCCTAATAAGAGGGTAATACGACCGCTTTCCATGACACTGGAAACACTGGAAAGCCGTAGTAACAGGAAGCACAGAGAGAAAAATCTAGCTTCTTAGCAAAATTCCTCCATTGTCGGCCATTTTGTTTACACAAAGTTGTCCTAGGTGGTAGGGTACGCTACCTGTGAAAGTTTGCTTGTAAACCCAGGCTCAGTACCTGTGATCCTCCTGATAAGGCAACCCCTAGCGGGAGGGTTACCCTTCCTGCTTCTAACCAGGTCCGGGGGTACTCCCTTATACGGGCTATATCGGTTCGTGCGGCCCCAAAGTATAGGGTTTTTCAGCCGTTTTGGTCGTAAATAGGGTATCGATTTTGGTCATTTTGGTCATAAATGGGGTATGGTTTGTGCACTCTAGTTTTGAACTGGGTTTGTTTTTGAGAAGAAACTATTTTTTCATCATTATAGATAAGACCATCAACAAAATCCTTTTATAATATAAATTATGTTTAGCGCAACTGTGTAAGCCGCACCGGTCATAAATAGGGTATCGAAATTTTTGTCAGGTCATAAATAGGGTAGGGAAAATCGCCGATTTTGGTCATAAATAGGGTAAGGGTTTTGGGATGCGGGTTCACTCCATTTTTCTGGGATCACCTCCCCCCTCCGGTTAACAGGGCCTTAATGCGAACATAGACCAGATGCATGTAACAAAAATGGAAGGTAGAGGTCTTTAAAAACGCTCGCTTGGATCAAACCGTTTATCAAATTTATGCTTGTATACATTGCAGATCTTTCCAGCAATCCTGGTTGCACTTATGTACTTCCTGAAGGTAAGCATCCTTCGGATATAAAGTTTATGCGAGCTGCACAAAAGTTACCTTTACCTACAAAGTCGATGACATTTGCTCTTTACGTAAGAAGTCGATAGTTTATTAGTGATACTTTGATTGTTGCGATCGGTAGACATTGATTATTTGACTTAAATATATCCGATCTGTAGGTTTTTTGTTCACTGAATTTTCAGTGGCATCTGTCCACCTTCATCAGAGTGAAAAATGGACGTTCGTTATAACGTAGCTGGCTTTTTACGCGTTTGAACACGCGCGAAGAGTTAAAACTGGAAACAAAGGAGAATAAGCGCGCTGAAAGACTTTTCTTTCATTCACCGCGTTTGCGTCCATCGTTGAGTGCCACGACTCTAAAAGAGTTTCTAATTCCTCGTTCGAGGATCGTGGGGTCTCGTGGGTGGATGTCATGATCAGTTCTTTGCGCGTGTTGTTTTATCGCTAATTCTCCGTTGCAAGCGCGGCCAAGATCGTGTTCGGCTCCGAATAAGCTCCATGAGCGCTTACTTTCACCTGGCTTCTTTTTTTTTCTAGCTTCACTCAGGTGAAGTCCATGACCTAACTTCGTGTGACTTGCCCTGTGATCTCGACAGCAAATTTGCCCCAAAAGTCATAGTCTATGCTAAGAGAAATTGGTACTATTTTCTTGTTTCCCTCCTTACTGGGAAGCTTTCATCTGGTAATTCCCCTTCCAAAATCGTGCCACACGAACAATATTTGACTAATATAGACGAAGGAAAATTAGTTGTTGAACTACATACAATCGTGGACAAAAGTCCTTGGGACACTTATGTAATGTAACGAATTATCTGTGTTTTAGTACTGAAGTTTAAAAAAAACGCTGCTATATCCTTTAAAAACGCGTTGCTGTCTCCCCTCGCCACCCAACACAATGTTGAAAATCAGGTGAAATTGAAGGTACTAGTTTTTAACAATGTGTGAGGGGGTGGGGGGCGAGGTTAGGTAGGTGAAGTTGTATTCGCGTCTGGCGTGTGCGCAAAAGCGTCAAAAGTGCAAATTTGTCTCAAGACTTTTGTCCATGATTGTAGATTGAATCTAGCCTCAGTGAGCAGCCTTCTTACTTCGTAAAAGATTTAAGCTGAAAAATTTCATAGTGATGACGTAGTCTCACTACAACCATCAGGAGTGAGAGATTCTCGCCCATGTAAACTTTCTTTTCTCTCGTAAGTTCTCGCGCGTTTAGAGATGCG